TGAAGTCTCCACCAAAAGACTTCTAATGCGACCACTGCCTCCTCCCCTCCTAGTTCAGTTTTTGTCACATCTACTCCTCAGCCCAACTGGGAGACGCTCTTGAACATACATGTGACCCCTTTTGTTCTCTCAGCTTGGCTTGGACTTAATTGGCACCACCTCAGCCTGTGGTCAACCTTACTATCACTTCTTTCCTTGAGCTGTGAGTAGCTCTGAATGTCATGAGAGAAAAACCACATCCGGACTGACTGGTTGGACTTTAAATTTGTGTTCACAAACCTCAGAAGGCGCACTGTACACCTGGTGTTTTCTTCTGAAGACTAGACAAGGAAATTGTCTCAAAGGCAACTGTTTCACACTTTCTTCTTCATCCTGATGTGTCCTACTTCCTTTCTGCCACCTTCCTTCTCAACTGATTCTTTATTTAAGAAAATTGTTATTTTGTTCCTTGTCATCCTGTCCACTCTGACTCTGGATGACCTTGAGTGCTTGGTCCTGTGCCTTTGTGATGGTCCTTGCTGTGTTTGAGTCCGTTGTTTAAGTCTATCTCATTGCTCGGTGTTCTAACAACTGGTCTTCTTAGATGTTGTGTCCACACGAAGTGACCCAAACTCTTGCCATCTTAATTTCTCTGGGGCATTCTGGTAGGACTTATAAGACTCATTTATTTATTCTCTGGCAGTCTATGAATACATATGAGGTGGTTGAAAGGACCATGGCTTGGGTCAAGTGCACTGTAGTCATCAAAGTGTCATGTTTGTTTACTGAAATTGTAAAGAAGTCTTTTGCAAGCAGATTTGTCTAATGCAATATGTTGTCTGATTTCTTGACTGCTTTTTCCATGGACTTTGATTGTTTCAGAAACTATCAAATGAGTCCCACCTCTTCTCCCATCCTCTTGAATGAAGATAGTATTAGTTTTCTTTTCCCGTGGACAGTCAAAGCTCTCCTTGGCAGACATTCCTCTCAGTTCCCTCCATTGTGTCCTCCCTTCTGCCTCTGATACTAATTTCTATTGGGTCATAGCTTTCTCACCTTAAAACATGCTTGAGTCTCTCAAACAAACAAAATCCTGTTTTTGATCCCATATGTTTTCTGTTTTTCTGCCTCTTTCAGAGTTAGACTGTTGAAACAGTGTGTCCATGTATGTCTTCATGTTCTTACATCCACTCTGACAGGAGTTTAGTTAAAAATATATGGCTGTTGAAACAATGAACTGTACAAAGGAAGGAAGAAGCCACATTTCCACCACCTAGAATAAATGTGTTGCTTTTTGAGTTTTTTAAAAAAGAAAATTTGTTTTGTTGAGATACGTATAAAGTATCCAAATAACTGATAAATAGTAGGATACAGTTTCAAAAATTACTGTCACTAATATTAATGATTATAAATGGAGAGATGAATACATAGACATGGAGATAAACCAGCAGACCAATTGCTGTTGAATTGTTTCTGACTCCTGGCATCCCATAAATTTTAATCTTTCACGTAGCAGTCAAACCCTTTCCATCATTCAGGGGTTTTAGATACAGTAATAGTTGAAGACCTGGAGATATAGTTTAAATTTCTTTCACTTTGTATTTTTTATTTGTAGAATTTAATTTGTTTTTGTTATTGAGAATATGCACAGTGAATCATACACGAATTCAGCAGCTCTCACTGTACAACTCAATAACATTGATTACCATCTTGGAGTTGTGCCTCCCCCAATGACATACACTCACTGGTTTCTAAGATTCCTTCTGATCTTTTGAGTTATTATTGTCACTTTGATCCAATAGAACATAAGGCTTAAGGCAAATATTCTTTACTAGTTAAGCTAAACAGTGTTTGGATTTAAGAAGACTTCAGGGCATATTTTCAGTTTAAGTTTTAAAGATGATCTCTGGGCAGTAGTTTGGGTAGTTCATCCAAGCTTTATGACTGTAGGAAGTCTGAGTTTCATGAGCGATTGAAATTCTGTTCTGTGTTTTTCCCCCTCTGTAGATCAAGAATCTTCTATAGATTCTTTGATCAAAATGTTTAGCAATGATAGCCAGACCCAGTTATTCCAGTCTCATGACAAGGTGGCAGTTGTTTATGGAGCAATTAGCCACACATTTCATATCCTCCTCCTATTTCTGACTCTCCTTCCTCTGTTGCTTCAGGCAAATGTTGTTGCTGTTTTTTAGTGCCTTCATCTTCTCTCTGGACTGAGTTCACATCAGGCATAGTAATTACCCTGTACAATGCTGTTTATTTCTCTTCCACGTTTGTCAATCTTTGAGAGCCTAGTTGCTTTAGTTTGTCTTTTTCTGCTGCAATCACTATGATTATCAAAAGTGTTGAAAAGTCCATTTCCTGCAACATCCATTTACTTCCTTGTTATTTCTAAATTTATTTATTCAGATGGCAGTTATGTTATCTTTTGTTCCTTAACTGGTTTTCATCTCATTTTACTTTCCTCATCTCAATGTTAAACTCTTGTTTTGCTGATGTCTTATTTTTATTAACGTGTTCTATGGGCTTAAATAATGAGGGAGAGGTCTTTATCTTTCATGTATTATGTTTTCTTCTAGGCTGGACTTCTAGAAAACATTGTGTTTATATTGCTATCTTGTTTTGCTTAATGGTGCAGCTTGGAGTCTCTGGGAAGCAGACTCTGAAATAAGGTTTGTCTATTGGAAATATGTTGGGATGTGCTTTTAGGATCAACTCCTATGGAGGAGTGAGCAAAGCAGGATTAGGCAGAGGGAGAAGTTGAACTGTGATACAGCCACCACAAAGGGGCTCTGGAGCTGGGATGGGTCTACAGAGTTGTCTTATACTAGGGGCAGGGGTCCTGGCCTTTGTAACCCTGCATAGACCAGCCATTGGAATGCAGGCTATTCTCAGGGAGTGGGTGTGATATTGTAGAAGTAGTTTTCTTTAGCTGAGGATGCTCTGAGTAGCTAGGGAATGAGTCCTTCTGGAATAGGCTATTTGAGAGGCACAACTCTGCATCTAGTTGACTTAATTTTATACTAATGGTGACACTGTCCAGACATTTATTCCATTTGATAGGGTTGTTGTTGTTAAGTGTTGTTGAGTCAGTTTTGAGTCATAGCAAGCCTGTATGGGGTTTCTGAGGAGCTGGTGAGTTTGAACCACTGACTTTGTGGTTGGCCATCCAGCACTTATCCTACAGCGCCACACTAGGGTAGATAAGTGTTTTACCCTCTTCTGACCCTATTTGAGATAGATGTACTTTCCCATGAGGTGATAGTTCCACATTTTAGTAGTCTGAGAGTATGACCAGGAGCCAGTTCAGGGTTGACTGATTTATGTAGTGTAAGGAAGGGGTCAGACACCCTTGTTTACCATTCTGAAGCACATTGACATTATGGTTGGATGTTCCTTTTTCAAGGCAATTTAATTCAGAGGTAGTTTTTTCTCCCCATTTCCTCCCAAGAATGGCAGTTAAATGAAAAGGTGTTTTGAAAGTTCCTTCAGCTGCAAGCAACAGAAATCAGGACTTACAATGTGTAGTGATTTGGAAGGAATTTATGGCTAATTAAGGAAAAAGATATGACCACAAGATAACATTACACAATACACTAGTAGAGTGAATACATTGACCATCCCATAGCAGGAGGTCTTCCTGGAAGATAAGCAGGAGTAAGGAGCCATCAGAAGGGGAAAGTGGCGTGGAGCCCTGGAAAGAGGAGAAGGGGGGAGACGAAGCTCACTTGAACCTCACTTGAAGTCTGCTGCAGCAAGGCGGGGCATCTGTGGGTCCCAGAGCTTCTAAAGCAGCAGTATCTTAGGCCCCTTATAGCTACAGGGTTGTATCTTATCTGAGCTAGCATATTTTGGGTGCAGTTCAGTGAGGTGTGTGAAGCAGTCAGACTTAAAGTGGCTAAAAACCTCCCTGCTTGGTCTATTTTGAAATTAATTGGATGGGTCATTGAGCTAACAGGAAGTGCGGAAGGGATGCTCAGCTTGTTGTGAAGAAGTAAACGGGGCACATAGGACATCATTGCCTTGTTATGTAAAACAATGCCAAAAACATCTTATCAGATGAGCAAAGGTCGACAGAGAGGTGCTTTAGGTGCTCATGGACACTGCACAAAAATCTTGCTCTTTTGATTACTGCTCTTTTTTTGTGCCTTGTGGAAGCAAGATGCCTTTGGCAGGAAACTCAAACCACGAGAAAGTGGAAAGTTTTGTCTCCATACTTGCCCCTTCCATTTGGAAATTAGATATCAGTCCTGAACGCCCCCCTCCCCAACCCACAGATACTTCTGTTTCTTTCCTGGTATTGAACTGGGTTACATGATCCACTCCCACCCTCAGTTGCTGCAGGAGAGACTGGAAATGAAAATATTTGACTTTCTACCTTCTCTAGGAATCCTGATATGGTGCTATAGGATCAGCACTGGACCTCGAACCACAAGGTTGACCGTTCAAGTCCACCAGTTGCTCCTTGAAAACCCTATACAGGGTCACTATGAGTTGGAGGCAGCAAGAGAGAAAGGCGTGGGAAATTGCTTTTTGGTAACTAATCCACAGTCTGCCTTATGGGGAAATAGAAAACTGCCAAGTTTAGAAACGATAACTTTACAAAATAAAAAAAAAAGAACACATTTGTTGTCAAATTTCCATCATCTAAAACTCCGGTGTGACGCTGTCAGATTAGCACTGGACTTTGAACCACTGGTGTGACGCTGTGGGTTAATGCGCCAGAATGCAAAGCCATTTGAACTGCAAGGTCGGCAGTTCAAACTCACCAGCTGCTCCTCGGAAACCCTATACAGGGTTGCTAGAGGTTGGAACTGACTCAACGGCACTTCACAACAACAACATACAGGGTCACTATGAGTCAGAACCTACTCGATTGCCTTTAACAACAACAACAACAACAACAAGACTGAAAAAAAGTCTAAGGCTTATCAATAACTTATGCCACTATGTATTATTATAGATCGTCTTCAAGTTTTTATAAGTTGATAAAATTATTTATTTTTCTGTGTTCTTTATAGTTTCCCATCACCAATTGTTCTTGGAACTGGACAGGTAAGTGAGGAGCATAAACTTATCTCCCTCCTAGTTAATGGTCAGTATAGGTGATGACATTTTAATCTCTTTTGTTTATAATTATGGTTTACAAATTTATTCAGATGGCAGAGAACCTGCAGATCATGGTTGGCACTCTTCATGGAAAATCATAAAACATGGAAACATTTTATTTCATCCTACAATTTGAACAGTTGTATTTGTAGGTGTATTAGCTTTCTAGTGCTGTTGCGACAGAAATACCACATGTGGATTGCTTTAAAGGACAAAAAATGATTTCCTCACAGTTTTGGGTACTAGAAGTCCAAGTCAGGGTCTTAGTTGTTGATTTCTCCCTTGTTGACCCTGGGCGTTTTTTGATTCCTTGCCAATCCTCATATGTCATTTGTCTTCCTAGTATGTGCCATCTGTGTTTAATATGCTGTTTTTATAACTTAGAGGTGTTTATAAGATTTTCCACTAGTACTAATTTGTGACTTTTTTTATCCTTTTGGTCATGTGTTTCTGGTTTGCAGCAAATAAGCAGTCCTAGGTATCAAAAAGCTTATTTTGTTTTTGCTTAAGTTGATAGGACATAAATCTTAAAATTAAGAAAATGTTATCAGTTAACTAAAACTTAACTGTGAATTTGGAAAGGGCTACCACTGATAAGATTTTTTAGCTATAGGGTGTATGGTTTGAGAACGCTGATTTTAAGGGAAAATAAGACTGGGAGGAATCTTATTATAGAATAGAATTTCTGTGACATTTTAAGAATCTGATTTTTATATTATCATTATAAGAAAGTCTGTTGAATATTTTGATTTTTCAGTAATTCTAGGAATCACATAAAATAGTAAAATGTAGTCATTTTGCTAAAAAAATATGATTCAATGTGAAAAATTAATATACTCTGAAGGTTTTTATATAGGGAATCTGAATATTTAATTTTAATTTAGCCACAGTAAGGTTTCCCCATTGTTTTGTTGAATAATATAAACTACACCTACTCCTCACTTAGTGACTCTCGTTATCCAACATTCTGCATTTATGACAATAGTGGAAAACTACTGTTTGAATATTTTGCGCGTTACTGATGTATACCTAACAGTAATGAACTCTGAGATGTGAGGTGAATGTAGTGCTGGCTGTGATGGTTAAGGTGCCAATTTGGCTGTGCCATGAATCTCAGTGAGTTGACAGTTATGTAATAATGAAATTTGGTCGTCATGTTATGATGAGATTTGGTAGTTACGTAGTCACCTTCCATTTTGTGATCTGATGTGGTCATCCTCCATTTTTGCAAAATACGAATTTTCAGTTAATGACCTGATCTTTGGAACCATTTGTAAGTGAGGAGCAGATATACTGGTTTTTTGTGTGGTCTTTGGCTATTTAAACTCAGCCATAAGATCAGTGAGGTACTCGATGTACATAAAATAATAAACTTGAAACTCAGTTCTTTTTATCATCTTGCTCAAGGCTGTGGGACAGACCTGGGGGACAGTGTAAAAGATATAGTTGCCAGGAAGAAGTATTTCCAACTTAACTTAAAAACAAACTATTATTCTGGGTAAATGCTTTGCTACTAAGTAGCTTTTTGCAGCATTATTTTAGGAAGAAAGAAATCATAGCAAGGAGATAATTTATTTGCTTAAGGTCAAAAATATATTATGATGTTTCAGTGTAAAAATATATAGGAAAAAACATTTTAAAAGATCACAGTAAATATGAGATGAAGTGTCTTTTGTAATCACCAAGGCAAATAAATCCACTTCAACCCACTGCACTCAATTAAAGTAAAGGATTTTTGATTTATAATTTATAGAGGAAGAGGCAGTGAAAACTAATTTTAAAAGCCTGAGTTATAGACGATCTAAAATAAGCATTAGTATAATTCTTTAGGTATACATTTATGAGGTAGGTTATGAATACAGATTACAATTTTAATTCTGGATGGGCCTGAGTTATTTAAGTCTATCTTGAATATTATGTTTGTAAACTCATTAGGAGCAAAGTTTGGGATTATAATTAAATATTTTTAGGGTATCTTTAAATTGTTCTGTTCTAATATGGTGAAAATTAAGTAAGTTATAAAATTTGCACAGGAAGATGATATTTGAAACTTTAATTCCATAATGGTAATAATATGTAATATTTGTAATATATCTAGTTTATTCCAGATTAAATAGGACTTGAATGAGACATTTTTGCAATACTGACTAGAGTGAAGAGAAAAATAAATCCCTTTTTGAAATTTGTTCTCCTAACTTGTCTTCTATATTCTGGAAATATTAGACTTTAAAACATATTATGTTTACTGGAAGGACAGACAAGAAATGTTGAACATGGTAACCCACAAGTAGGTAGAATGGAGTAGACAAGAACAGGTGTGGGAATGGGATTTCTTAATCTATAGTGCAAATATGTTGATCTAATTTTTGAACTATGTAAATGTATTATCAGTTCAGAGCAAAAAAAATATGCAATACATAAAGAGAAAAAAATAGATGAACTACATATTGAGAAAATATTTTTAATAGGTGTCACTCCCTTAGGAATAATTTCTAAAGTCATATATATATGAACTTTGATAAATTAATAAGAAAAGGTCTATTTCTCCTTAGAAAAATGTTGATGAAGAAAATGAACAAGTAGTTCACAAAGTAGAAATTAAGGAAATTTTATGCTTATGTGTGGAGTTTCTTTTTTTTATTACTGTCTCCACCCTATCCTCTTTCCTTGGGGGTGGGCTCCCGATGAGCAGAGTGGCCCTATGCCCAGTAGATGGGCAGGGTGGCCACGACCAAGGGTGGCCTCACCAATTCCAGTCACTGTGGCCACTCTGTGGGACATCATTCTCATTCTCTCCCTGCCACTGTCCCCTGACCCCTTTGGGAAAATGTGTATGTGTGATGACTTATCTGATGGAATCCATAAAATGGCAAGACAACAATTTTAATATTCTAAGAAATAGTTGTTTTTTTCCCCTGGAAGTTGGAAGATGAAATTTTGATTTGCTGTATTTGTTTTTGATGGTTTTTTGCACCTCAAACTATCTGTCCAGATTTTTTACTCAAGCTTCTCTCTTCCTCTTCCTTAGATGGCAGTCACCATAATGATACTGTATGTGTCCAAGCTAAATAAGATAATTCACTTTCCTGATTTTGACAAAAAAATTCCTGTGAAGGTACGTGATGAAAAGTATGTAAAGCTATGATGGGAAATGTGGAAATTCTATGGAATTACAAATTGATTCAGACTAAATTGTTGCTGTTAAATGCCATCTAGTTGGTTTCAACCTTTAGCAACCCTGTATAGGGTTACTGAGGAGCTGCTGGTGGGTTTGAACAGCTGACCTTGTAGTTCAAACTGACTTTTCATTTCAGTGCATTAACCCACAGTGCCACACCAATAGTGCTGGGTCATTTACATTGAAAAGTACTATGTGTTTTCTGGAATGATAAAGCTCTAAATCAGGAATTGGCAAACTTTTTCAGGTGCTCTATGGTCCTGACTGTCTCTGTGACAACTATTCATCTCTGCCATTGTAGCTCAAAAGCAACCATGAGCAATACATAAAAGAATGGGCATGGTGTGTTACATATAACCTAATTTGCACAAATTGAGTTGGTCAGATTTGGCCTGTGGGCTGCATTTGTTGAACCATTGTTTAAAATAGTCATTTAAAGCTTGGACTGATAAAAAACTACTGAGGAATACAGTTAGATATACATGTTTTTTTTCCTCCCCTGGAAGAACTAGGAACACGAGACTTCAGAATTACATTGAATCCTGGAAGTGTTGAATGGAGTTGACTTGATGACTACTGAACATCCACTCAGGCATTTTATTCCTAGAGCAACCCTCATCAAACAGGTTGCATTAATACTTACAAAGCCAGGAAGACCAGTTACCAATGAATTGACTCCAGCTCAGCCTTTTTCTGCAGTGCCACTGGGTATACTTGAACTGCCAATCTTTTGGATAGCATCTGAGCATGTTAACTGTCTGTGCCCCTCAAAGAATTGTGGGCTTGTTGTTGTTAGGTGCCATTGAGTCCGTACCAACTCATAGCGACCTTATTTATGTATGACAGAACAAAACAACGATTGGTCCTGCTCCAATCTCCCAAAAATTGCCAGACTTCGCTTTCCTGGTACCACTGGGTGGGTTCAAACTACAAACTTTTAGGCTGGTGTTGTTGTTATGTGCCATAGACTGAATTCTGATTGATAGCAACCTATATATATATATAATATATAGGGTTGAGATAAACAATAAGCAGATTTTTAGTATGTCTCTAATATTGCATGGGACACATTTATATAAAAATGTTTGTTGTTTATCTGAAATTCAAATTAACTTGGCTTCCTATATCCTTTATGGATCATGCTTTTGGCTTTGTATCTCAAAAGTCATCAACAAGCCCAAGGCCGTCTAGACTTACTTCTATGTTATCTTTTAGAAGTTGACTTGTTTTGCATCTTTCATTTAAATCTATGATCCATTTTGAGTTAAATTTTGTGAAAGATATAAGCTCTGAGTCTAGATGTTATTATTATTGTTTTTTTGGATGTGGCTGTCCTGTGGTTCAAGCACCATTTGTTGAACTATATTTTCTCCACTGAATTGCCTTTGCTCCTTTGTCCAAGATCAGTTGACGTATTGTATTTTGGAGGCTTTATTTCTGGGTTCTATAGTCATCTTGTTGTTGTTGTTATGTGCGATGGAGTCGGGACCCACGCATAGTTGCCCTATGCAAAATAGAACAAAACACTACCTGGTCCTGCACCAAACTTAGAATTGTTGCTATGTTTGAGCCCATTGTGGCTGCCACTGTGTCTGAAATATGAAAGATGAAGCCTGGCCATCCTAGTTTCTAAGGAGCATTCTGGCTGTATATCTTCCAATACAGATTGATTTGTTTTTTTGGCAGTCCATGGTACTTTTATTATTCTCTTCCAGCATCATAACTCAAATGCATAAATTCTTCTACAATCTTTTAAATTCATTGTCCAGCTTTCATATGCATATGAGGTTACTCAAAATACTGTGGCTAGGTTCAGGTGCACCATAGTTTTAATACTGATGTCTTTGCTCATGAACACTTTAAAGAGGTCTTGTGTAGCAGATTTGCCTAATGTGACATGTTGTTTGATTTCTTTACTATTATTCCTGAGACTGTTGATGGTTGATCAGAGCAACATGAAGTTTTGACAACTTCAACCTTTTTCCATTTATCTTGGTGTTATTTATTGGACTAGGGGAAGAATTTTGCTTTCTTTACATTGAGGTGCAACCCATACCGAAGGCTGTGGTCTTTAATCTTCATCAGTAAATATTTTAAGTCCTCTTCACTTTCAGCAAGCAAGGTTATATCATCTGCACATTAGAGGTTGTTAATAAGTCTCCCTGCAGTTCTGATGCCACATTTTTCTTCATATAATCCAGCTTCTTGGATTATTTGCTCAGTATACAGATTGAATAAGTATGGTGAAAAAATACAACCTTGGAACACACCTTTCCTAGTTTCCTAGTTTCAGTGTTCCCTTGTTCTGTTTGAATAACCGCTTCTTGTTCTATGTACAGGTTCCTCATGATCACAATTATGTATTCTCTGCAGTGTTGTCCACAGCTTGTCATGATCCACACAGTTGAAAACTTTTGTGTAGTCAATAAAGCACAGGAAAACATGTTTCTGGTATTCTCTGCTTTCATCCAAGATCCATCTGATGTAACCAATGATATCCCTTTTTTCATGGCCTGTTTTGAATCCAGCTTGAATCTCTGGAAGTTCTGTCATTGTACAGTTGCAGCCCTTTTTGAGTTATCTTTAGCAAAATTTCGGTTGCATGTGATATTAATGACATTGCCCAATGTTTCCTGTATCCTGTTGGGTCACCTCTCTTTGGAATGGGCACAAATATGGATCTCTTCCAGTAGTTGACGAGGTTGCTGTCTTCCATTTTTTTTTGGTATAGATGACTGAGTGCCCCCAGTACTGTATTTATTTTGTTGAAATGTTTCCATCAGTTCCTGGAGCCTTCTTCTTTTCCAGTGTCTTCAATGCACGTTGGACTTCATCCATCATTATCACTGGCTTTTGATCATATGCAACTTATTGAAAAGGTTGGAGATCAACCATTTCATTTGGTACAGTGACTCTAATCCTCCCATCTTGTTTTGATACTTTCTGCATCATTCTGTATTTTCGTCTTGGAATCCTTCAATATTGAAAGTTGAGGCTTGATTTTTTTTCTTTAGTTCTCTCAGCTTGAGAAATGCTGAGAATGTTTTTCTCTTTTGGTTTTCTAACTCCAGGTCTTTGCACATTTCATTATAATATCTGACTATGTCTTCTTGAGCTGACCTTTGAAAATTTCCATTCAACTCTTTTACCTCCTCATTTCTTCTATTTGCTTTGTCATCTCTATGTTGGAGTGCGGATTTCAGAGACATCCACTTTGGTCTTTTCTTACTTTCTTGTCTTCTTAATGACCTTTTGCTCTCTTCCTGTGTGATGTTCTTGATGTCATCCCACAACTCTTCTGACTTATGGTCTTTAGAGTCTAATGAATCAAATCTATTCTTCAGATGGCCTCTAAATTCAGGTGGGATGTATTCAAGGTCATATTTTAGCTCTTTTGGACTTGTTTTAATTTTCTTAAGCTTCAGCCCAAACTTGCATATGAGCAATTGATGGTCTGTTCCTGGAACTTTTTCACTGTCTCTTTCCACAAATGTAGCCAATTTGATTTCTGTGTATTCCATCTGTTGAGGCACATGTGTATGTTTTTATGTTGTTTTAAAAAAAGGTAGTTGCACTGAAGAAGTCATTGGTCTTACAGAATTCTATCATGTGATCTTCAGCATGGTTTCTATCACCAAGGCCATATATATATTTTTTTAATGTTTTATTGTGAATTATGTGATAGTTTACATGGGAGAACCTTAGTCTTACATTCATTCCATCGTATATCATCTCATTGCCATGGTTCCAATCCCCTCCATGTATCATCAACCAACTG